ATCTGGCCCCTCCTACAACCAAAAAAGAGGCACAATGCCTAGCAGGCCTATTTGGATTTTGGAGGCAACACATTCCTCATTTGGATGTGTTACACAGGCCCATTTACCAAATGACATGAAAAGCTGCAAGTCTTATGTGGGGCCCAGAACAGGAGAAGGCTCTACAACACGTCCAGGCTGCTGTGCAAGCTGCTTTGCCACTTGGGCCATAGGACCTAGCAGATCCAGTGGTGCTTGAAGTGACAGTGGCAGATAGGGATACTGTTTGGAGCTCTTGGCTATATATATATATATATCTCCTATAGGTTAATCACAGCCTAGCCCTTTAGGATTTTGTTTTACTTTATTTTTTGAGACAGGGTCTTGCTCTGTCACCCAGACTGGAGTGCAGTGGCACAATCACAGCTCACTGCAGCCTTGACCTTTCAGGCTCAAGTGATCCTCCCACTTTACCCTCCCTAGTAGCTGGGACTGACTGCAGGTGTGCACCACCACATCTGGCTAACTTTTGTAATTTTTGTAGAGATAGGGTTTCCCCGTGTTCCCGAGGCTGGTCTCGAACTCTTGGGCTCAGGCAATCCACCCGTCTCAGCCTCCCAAATGAAACTTGGTGAGCCTCCTTTAGGATTTGGGAGCAAAGCCCTACTATTCTCTGCAGATAACTACCCTCCTTTTAAGAAACAGCTCTTGGCTGGGCGTGGTGGATCACTCCTTTAATCCCAGCACCTTGGGAGGTTGAGACCAGCAGATCTCTCTCGAGCACAGGAGTTTGAGACCACCCTGGGCAACATGGCAAAAATCCATCTCTAGGCCAGGCGCAGTGTCTCACGTCTGTAATCCCAGCACTTTGGGAGGCCGAGGTGGGCGGATCACGAGGTCAGGAGACCGAGACCATCCTGGCTAACACGGTGAAACCCTGTCTCTACTAAAAATACAAAAAATTAGCCGGGCGTGATGACAGGCGCCTGTAGTCCCAGTACTTGGGAGGCTGAGGCAGGAGAATGGTGTGAACTCAGGAGGCGGAGCTTGCAGTGAGCCGAGATAGCGCCACTGCACTCCAGCTTGGGCAACAGAGCAAGATTCTGTCTCAAAAAATAATAATAATAATAAAAATCCATCTCTACAAAAAAAATACAAAAAGTATTAATAGCTGGGTGGGGTGGTGCATGCCTGTAGTCCCATCTACTCAGGAGGCTGAGGTGGGAAGATTGCTTGAGCCCAGGAGGTCGAGGCTGTAGTGAGCTGTAATTGTGCCACTGCAGTCCAGCCTGGGTGACAAAGTGAGATCCTGTCTCAAAAGAAAAAAAAAAGAGAGAGAGAGAGAGAGAGAAACAGCTGTTGATCTGCTACTGGGTCTTAGTAGAAACTAAATACTTGACCATGGGCCACCAAGTTATATTCCTGCCCATCATGAACTGGGTGTTACCCAACTAACCAAGAGTCGGTGTGCACAGCAGCGCTCCATCGTCGAATGGAAATGGGAAATATGTGATGGGGCCTAAGCAGGCCCTGAAGACACAAGTAAGTTACATGAGGAAGAGGCCTAAATGCCCATGGTCCCCACTCCTTCCACCCTGCCTCGTTTCTCCCAGCCTGAACCTGTGGCCTCATAGTGAGTTCCCTACAATTAGTTGACAGAGAAAGAGAAGACTTGGGCATGGTTTACAGATGGTTCTGCATGTTATGCAGGCACGCTCTGAAAGCAGACAACTGAAACACTATGACCCCTTTCTGAGACATCTCTGAAGGACAGTGAAAAAGGACAGTTGACAAGGGGTGGACTTGTGATGGTAAATTTTATGTGTCAACTTGATAGGGACACAGGGTGCCCTGTTGAATGTTATTTCTGGGGGGATCTGTGAGGGTGTTTCCAGATGAGGTTAGCAAATGAATTGTTGGACTGAGTAAAGCAGATGGCTCTGCCCAGTGTAAATGGGCATCACCCAGTCCACTGAAGGTTGGAATAGAACAAAAAGATGGAGGAAGGTGGAATTTGCTCTGTGACTGCTTGAGGTGAAACACCAGTCTTTTGTCCTTGGCTGGTACTTACACCATCAGCCCTTTGTTTTTTTGTTTTGTTTTGTTTTTTAGAGATGGAGTCTCGCTCTGTCACCCAGGCTGAAATGCAGTGGCACAATCTTGGCTCACTGCAACCTCCACCTCCCGGGTTCAAGCGATTCTCCTGCCTCAGCCTCCCAAGTAGCTAGGACTAGAGGCATGCACCACCAGGCCCGGATAATTTTTGTATTTTTAGTAGAGATGGGCTTTTGCCATGTTAGTCAAGCTGGTCTTGAACCCCTGACCTCAAGTGATCCGCCCGCCTTGGCCTCCCAAAGTGCTGGGATTGCAGGCGCGAGCCACCATGCCCAGCCAACACCATCAGCCCTTTGGTTCTTGGAACTACACCACTGGCTCTCCTGGGTCTCCAGCTTGCTGATAGCAGATTGTGGAACTTCTCAGCTTCCAAAATCACATGAGCCAATTCCTTATAATATATTACATATTGGTTCTGTTTCTCCTACTGGTTCTGTTTCTCCAGAGAACTCTGACTAATACACCCAGCAATTCCACTTCTAATTCTAGTACTCGGACATGTGCACGGAGCTGTCAGAACAAGGCTGGTAGGAGTAAACAACCAGGAAAATCTTATAAATGTTCACTGATAGCCAAGGACTATTACAGAGTGAAACGAATAATAGGGGGTTCATGTTACAGCACAGAGTGCCCACTGGACATGACACAGAATGGATGGGACTTGTGTGTACCTGTGGGGGTGGGGGTTACCTTCTACAGGATGTGCTACAGGCAGGGAAAAGCAAGGGGGAGTCAGTTACAGTGACCTAGTGCATCTGTGTAGTGTGCACACACACACACTATGTAAACACAGAGAACTGAATCTGGAAGGAAACACCAGAATTTGACCCCAGTGGTCATTTTGGGGAAATGGGGGTGGAGATGATTGCTAGAGTCCATGTACTGATGTGTTGTTCAAATTTTTTTTTTTTTTTTTTTTTTTTTTTTTTTTTTTTTTAGAGAAAGAGTCTCCTTCTGTCGTCCAGGCTGGAGTACAGTGGCACAATCTCAGCCCACTGCAACCTCTGCCTCCCGGGTTCTAGTGATTCTCGTGCTTCAGCCTCCCGAGTAGCTGGGATTACAGGTGTGTGCCACCATGCCCAGCTAATTTTTGTATTTTTAGTAGAGATGGGGTTTCACCATATTGGCCAGGCTGGTCTCGAACTCCTGACCTCAATTGATCCACCTGCCTTAGCCTCCCAAAGTGCTGGGATTACAGGTGTGAGCCACTGCCCTCGGCCTGTTTTTTTTTTTCCTTTTTTTACAGGTGTGAGCCACTGCCCTCGGCCTGTTTTTCAAATCTTTTATACAAACCTGTATTCACATATTATTTGTGTAACTCTTTTTAAAGGAAAATCATATGCTTAAAAACAGTATCTGGCCGGGCGCGGTGGCCCACGCCTGTAACCCCAACACTTCAGGAGGCCAAAGGAGGCCAATTGTAGGCAACATAGCAAGACCTCATCCTTACTAAAAATACAAAAATTAGCCAGGTGTGGTAACGCACACCTGTAGTCCCAGCTACCCAAGAGGCTGAGGCAGGAGGATCCCTTGAGCCCAGGAGTTTGAGACTGCACTGAGCCATGATGGCACCAGTGGGCTCCAGCATGGGTGACAAAGTGAGATCCTGTCTCAAAAAAACAAAAACAAAACAATATCCACAACACAAAGTGTTTGTGTTGGGGGTAACTAGAAACAAAAATCTCAAACTCACATGCTCCAGGGGCCAGACAGGTAACTTGTAAGACAGATGGGGAGCTCAGCAGCTCAGCTCAGGGTAAAGTGAACAACAACCGGGCTGATGAATGTTCTCTGACTCTCAGCAGTGGAAAGTGAGGGTGAGTGGGGAGGAGGAGGAAGACTGCAAATCTCATCCCCCAAAACTCATCCCCCAAAATAATTCAGGAACATCACACCCTGGAGCTCAGAACTTTTTTTTTTTTTTAAACAGAGTCTCACTCTATCGCTCAGGCTGGAGTGCAAGGGCACAATCTCAGCTCACTGCAACCTCCGCCTCCCGGGTTCAAACTATTCTCCTGCCTCAGGCTCCTGAATAGCTGGGACTACAGGTGCACACCATCATGCCCAGCTAATTTTTGTATTTTTAGTAGAGATGGAGCTTTACCATGTTGGCCAGGCTGGTCTCAAACTCCTGGCCTCAAGTGATCCGTCCACCTTGGCCTCCCAAAGTGCTGGGATTACAGGCATCAGACACCGTGCTTGGCCAAGGGGCTCAGAACTCTTAAGAGTTTAGGGATCTTGGCTTGGAAACAGACCCATAATAGGTCAGAGCAGTCATACTCTAACTCAGATAGCTCATAACTTCACACCCCTGACACACACTCTCAAACAGCTCACAGATCTCACACTTTGGAGACATACCCCTAAGTAGAACAGAGGCATCAAACCCTAGAATAAAGATCCCCTTAATACTTGGTGGTTTTTCAGTATTATTATTATTATTGAGATGGAGTCTCGCTCTGTTGCCCAGGCTGGAGTGCAATGGTGCCATCTCGGCTCACTGAAACCTCCGCCTCCCGGATTCAAGCGATTCTCCTGCCTCAGCCTCCCAAGTAGCTGGGATTACAGGCGCCCGCCACCACGCCTGGCTAATGTTTTGTATTTTTAGTAAAGATAGGGTTTCACCATGTTGTCCAGGCTGTGTCTTGAACTCCTGACCTCAGGTGATCCACCTGCTTTGGCCTCCCAAAGTGCTGGGATTACAGGTGTGAGCCACTGCACCCAGCCTTCAATGTTAACAAGAAGTAATCCCTTACACATCCACTTTAAGCTTTTAATTTCGAGGCCCTGAGTTTAATGTCAAAGTCCTTCCATTTGCACCACCTACCTGTGTCACCTCCCACAGTCCTCAGCCTGTGCCCTCCCATTCCTGCCCCTTGATCTCCAGGTGCTGAGCCAGAGGGTTGTCGGGAGGCCCCTGGACAAAGACACCTACCCTGCCATGCTGCGCCATCTGCCCTCCAGGTTGCCAGTCAAGATGTGGGGCAGGATTTTGGAGAAACAGGTGAACAAAGTGGCCGCTGGGGTTCTGGGGCAAGGGTGTTGACACTGAAGCTAGTCTAGTAACCTGTTTCCCTTCTCTGCCGGCTTCCATTTCCTGTCCTCCTCTCTCCCTTTCTCTTTCAGAGACAAGCAGAGGGCAGCAGAGGCCCATGGAAAGGCCCGGCTCTAAGCCACGGAGGGCCCAGTGCTCAGGTGTGCAGGGCTGGGCCAGGGCTGAGGGCTGGCTCCTCCCCCAGTTTACCAGGGACAGGTGGAGAGATACAAAGGTGACTCACGCAGGGTGTCTCTGAAGCTGTCATGATTAAGGCCGTGTGGAGAGAGGCTAAGAAACACAGCGCTGACCTTGAGCTTTAGGAGAGGAATTCAGAGGCCCCTGGCAACCTGAAGGGGACCTTGAAGAGGACCCTGTAGGAAGACAGAACCATTCCCTGTGGAGGAGGCCAAAGGAGGAAGGACATGGTGTTCCGGGTACTCTGACTATAGGGATTTTATAGGTTGTGGTGAGAAATGAAATGGATTACATTTTTGTAGAGTGTGTAAAACAGGGCTTGGCACACAGTAAGCCTTGTGTGATTCCTATGCCTTTTTTTTTTTTTTTTTTTTTTTTTTTGAGACCGAGGTTTGCTCTTGCTGCCCAGGGTGGAGTGCAGCAGTGCGATCTCAGGTCACTGCAACCTCTGCCTCCCAGGTTCGAGCGATTCTTCTGCCTCAGCCTCCCTAATAGGGGATTACAGGCGCACACCACCATGCCCACCTAATTTTTGTATTTTTAATAGAGACAGGATTTCACCATGTAGGCCAGGCTCAAACTCCTGACCTCATGTAATCCACCCACCTCAGCCTCCCAAAGTGCTAGGATTACAGGTGTGAGCCACCGCACTCAGTCCTTTGTGTGATGACTATGTCTTGATCATCATTTTATAAAGCAGGCTTTGTAACTTCACCTCCAAGACCCCGCAGGATCCAGACCCTGCCTTGTCCTCCCACTCATCTCTTACTCACTCTTGGGTTCTGAGCCACGCTGGCCTTCCTGTTCTTGAAGAGAGCCATCCCTGCTCATCCTTGAATTTGCAAGGATGGAGCTCCGAGTCCACAAAGCAGGATCTGGGGAGTGAATCTGAGCTGGCAGGGAACTGAATAATGGGAGGAATAGGTGGAGTTTATTTCCAATAGACTATCAAAATGATACGGATGTGGCCAAAGCAGTGCTTAGGGAAAATCTATAGTTCTAAATGCATAGATCAGAAAAGTAGAAAAGTTGAAAATCAATGACCTGAGCTTCCCTATCAAGAAACTGGGAAAAGAATGGCAAATGGAACCTAAGACAGTAGAAGGAAAGAAATTATAACAGCAGAAACTGGTGAAATAGAAAACAAACATACAATAAAGCCAACAATGTCAAAAGTTGATTCTTTGAACAGAATAATAAAATATTAGCAATGTCTATTTTATCTCGAGAAATTAAGAGAAAATATATAGATTGCCAATTATCAGGAAAGTAAATAGGGTATTGTGACAGATTCTATAGATGTTAGAAGGTTAATAAGGGCTGGGTGCAGTGGCTCATGCCTGTAATCCCAACACTCTGGGAGGCTGAGGAGGGAGGATCGCTTGAGCCCAAGAGTTCAAGACCAGCCTGGGAAACACAGTGAGCCCTCACCTCTACAAAAAAATGAAAAAAGAAAACAAAAAACAGTTGGGCATGGTGGCACACACCTGTAATCCCAGCTACTAGGGAGGCTGAAGTAGGAGGATTGCTTGAGTCCAGGAGGTTGAGGCTGCAGTGAGCTGTGATCATGCCACTGTACTCCAGGCTGGGCAACAAAGCAAGACCCTGTCTCAAAAAGGGAATTAAAAAAGAAAGTTAATAAAATTTTTTTCAACATATGACTTTATTTTCAATGGAGCCAAAATGTTGGTCATTTTCTCTTTCTACAGTTCCTATGTCCATGTGGATCTTTTGTATCCACTGGGAGAGCAGAACTCAGCAACTTCGCTAATGCCTCCTCCGCTCAGGAAAATAGAATGGTACAGGATTTTTTTTTAGCTGGAGTTCAGTGAAATCAATTGTTTAAAATGGGCTGGTTTCAATGGAACTAAACGCAGTGGAATAGAAAATAATAAAATAGCAAAGGGTAGAATGGAATCCAATTGAATCGAATAGAACAGAATAGAAATTAGTCAGACTTTGTGCCAAGCACTGTCCCTAGTTGTTCCAGTAGATATTTATTTATTGAACAAATATGATTGAACCAGTTGTTTGGGAAAGAGTGGGGAACAAAACAAACAGAAGCCCCTGCTCTTATGAAGCTTACATTCTAGTCAGGGAGACAGGCATTACCATCTGCAAAGGCCCTGAAATGAAAGGTACAAGGGTGGTCCTTATGAGGAACAGGAAAAAGGACAGTGTAGATTGGAGTTCAAGAGCAATGGATGAGACTGTAGAGATAGGGGGTCATTGTAACTGAGTCTAGATTTTAAGAAGATAACTACACATCATCATCATCAATCCTTTTATAGCACTTGATATGTATCGGGCATTATTCTATGCCCTTAAAAACAGTACTTTTTAAAAACTCTCACAATACTCCTATATGTATAAAATCATGCTCATTTTATAGAAGGGGAAACCAAGGCACAGAGAAATTAGAGAAATTATTTAAATGTCAGTCTGGCTTCAGAATCTTTTATTTTTATTTATTTATTTATTTATTTATTTATTTATTTATTTATTTATTTATTTTTTGAGACATGGTCTTGCTCTGTCACCCAGGAGTCTGGTTGCGTGATCATAGATCATTGCAATCTCTGGTCCCAGGCTCAAGTGATCCTCCCACCTCAGGCCCCCAAGTAACCGGAACTACACGTGAGCGTCCCCCAACCTAGCTAATTTTTGTATTTTTTTGTAGATACAGGGTCTCACTGTGTTGCCCAGGCTGATCTCAAACTCCTGGGTTCTAGGGATCTGCCTGCCTCAGCCTCCCAAAGTGCTGAGATTCCAGGCGCCACCGCCAGAATCTATTCTTTTAAGCATTATACTCCATTGCTTATAGTGCCAGACCACAGGTGCTTTATAATCCTGTAGCAGAGATACTGTAAATACACAAATTACTAAATAATTCAAGTCAAGAGAAAGATCTGATGGGAAGTGTGCTGACAGCGGGAAAGTGGAAGGGATGGTAGTAGTCCTCCCACTGGGTGTCAAGGTGGATCTGTAAACACGCATGCCCAGAAACCTTCATTTCTTCTGAGATGCCCCCTTCTTGTCCTGTTCTCTGTGACTGAAGCTGCAGAATGAGAAAGGAGGGGGCTGGGTAAAATTGGCCAATTCACAGAACTGGGCCTCCTCTGTGTCTTGTCACTTCTTGGAAAAGAGATGAATTCTATTTAGGGGAAAACAGGGAGGGCATTGTCTTGGTCTCCACTCCACTAATCTTCACTTCTGGAAGAGGAGAAAGGGAACAAGAAGGCCAGGTGCAGTGGCTCACCCCTGTAATCCCAGCACTCTGGGAGGCCAAAGCAGGCAGATCACTTCAGGTCAGGAGTTTGAGACCAGCCTGATCAAAATGGTGAAACCCTGTCTCTACTAAAAATACAAAAATTAGCTGGGCATGGTGGCGCACACCTGTAGTCCCAGCTACTCAGGAGGCTGAGGCAGGAGAATCGCTTGAAACCAGGAGGCGGAGGTTGCAGTGAGCTGTGATTGTGCCACTGCACTCCAGCCTGGGCAACAGAGTGAGACTCTGTCTCAAAAAAAAAAAAAAAAAAAAAAAGGAAAAAAAGAAAAGAAAGGGAACAAGAAAACAGTGGAGAGTGGTCATGGCAGACAGGTGGGCTCTCGTGAATCCACACATGGGCAGTAAGACTCTACCAATAAGTATTCTCTCAGGCCTTTCCCCTTGAAAGAGGGTGAGGAGGAAGTAGAGTAATTGGGGAGGTAGGGGGAGGTAAGGAGAAGAAAACACGGACGTGACAAGTGGCAATGTGGTCTCCTCTGACTTTTTTTTCTTTTTTTAGTCGTGGAGGGACAGCAGTCAGACCCCTCCCCCATGTCTTATCCGTAGACTTGACCACATCGTGATGACGGTGAAGAGCATCAAAGACACCACCAAGTTTTATTCCAAGATCCTGGGCATGGAGGTCGTGACTTTTAAGGTAACCACTTTCCCAAATGCCAAAATTCAGGTGGGCTAAAATTTGTTGATAACACTTTAACATATAACTTAACTCTAAAAGGAAAACCACAGGAAATCTGAGAGAAAATATAAAGAGATCAATAGAGGAGATTCCAGATTGAATATATGGGCTTCCAGAGAGACAATGGAGAAAAAGGAGAGGAGGAAATTATCATAGAAACAATACAAGAGAACTCTGCAGTCGCCACATGAAAAAGGTTAACCAAGTATCCAGCATGTTGACACTTAAATGGATCCTTATGAAATTATAGAACATCAAACTGAAAAAGTAGATGCTAAGAGCTTTCATAGAGATTAAAAAGTAGATTATCTACAAAGGAAAAAAAAAACAAACAAATATCAGATTTTCCAAGAGACCAGAGACCAAAAGATAAAAGGACACCTTCAAGACTCTGAGGGGAAAATTTTCCACCTAGAATTCTATGTCCAACCAAACTATTAACCAAAGGTAAATGTAGGGGCCAGGTGTGGTGGCTGATGCCTGTAATCCCAGCACATTGGGAGGCCGAGGTGGGTGGATCACTTCAGGTCAGGAGTTTGAGACCAGCCTGACCAACATAGCAAAACCTCGTCTCTACTAAAAATACAAAAATTTGCCATGCATGCTGGTGCACGCCTGTAATCCCAGCTACTTGGGAGGCTGAGGCATGAGAATTGCTTGAGCCTGGGAGGCAGAGGTTGCAGTGAGCCGAGATTGCACCACAGCACTATCTAGTCTGAGTGACAGAGCAAGACTGTATCAAAAACAAACAAACAAACAAAAAGGTAAATGTAGAATAAAAGCATTTTTAGTCATGCGAAGTCTTAGAAAATTTCCCACTTGCTTTGAAAATTACTTAAGGGTATGCTATATCAAAATGGGGGACTGGCCGGGCACGGTGGCTCACGCCTGTAATCCCAGCATTCTGGGAGGCAGAGGTTGCAGTGAGCCGAGATTGCACCACTGCACTCCAGCCTGGATGACAAAGCAAGACTCCATTTCAAAAAAAAAAGATGACTAATCTCAGAATATGGAAGTCAGGCCACAACAGATCCCAAGAGGAGGATCCCAGAAAGGCACTTAGAGAACAATCAGTCCAGTTTGGTACAGGTGTAAGAAAGACCCCAGGAAAGACAGATCCAAGGGAAAAAAGAGGTTTCCAGAGATTGAACTATCCTTGAGAATTTGGAACAACTTCAAAAAAGGCAAATGCAAAGAAAGCAAAAAATGCCTAAGATGTGCTTCAGTGAGTGAATGGCTATATCAACTGTGGCACATCCAGACAATGAAATATTATTCAGTGATAAAAATAAATGGATTATCTGCCAGGTGCGGAGGCTCACGCCTGTAATCCCAATACTTTGGGAGGCTGAGGTGGGTGGACCACCTGAGTCAGGAGTTTGAGACCAGCCTGGCCAACATGGTGAAACCCCATCTCCACTAAAAATACAAAAATTAGCCAGGCATGGTGGCGGGTGCCTGTAATCCCAGCTACTCAGGAGGCTGAGGCAGGAGAATCACTTGAACCCAGGAGGCAGAGGTTGCAGTGAGCCAAGATTGCGCCATTGCACTCCAGCCTGGGTGACAGAGCAAAACTCTGTCTCAAATAGATAAATTAATTAAATAAAATAAATGGACTATCAATCCATGAAAAGACATGGAGGAAACTTAAGTGCCTATTACTAAGTAAAAGAAGTGGGGGAGGCTGTGCATATGTGGGGGCAAGGTGTATATATCCCTATACCTTCTGTTCACTTTTGCTGTGGACCTAAAACCGCTCTAAAACAATTAAGTACACATGAACACCTCCCCCGCCCCGACACACACACACATACAACTTAAATAGAAAGGGCTCGAGGAATCACAAACAGGAGAAGAAAAATTTTTTTAGACGTGGTCTCGCTCTGTTGCCCAGGCTGGACTGCAGCGTTGCGATCATGGCTCACCACAGCCTGAACCTCCTGGACTCAGGTGCTTCTCTTGCCTCACCCTCCTGAGTAGCTGAGACTGTAGGCACGTGCCACCACATCTGGCCAATTTTTTCTATTTGGGTAAAAATGTTAAATCTAACATGGAACCTTATGCAGAACTGTAGTATTATGCAACATCAGACTGGATGTGTACACAGCAACATGAATGGGTCTTGAAAAGAACGTGCTGAGTGAAAAATGAAGAAACAATCAGGTCTACAGCATGCTACCCTTTACAATACACACACATAAAACAGTAACACACTTTTTACAGCAATTTATGAAAACCCAAGGATACACATCAAACACATTATAATGGTTGCTTAAGGTAGAGATGGGAATGGAGAATGAAGAGAAAAAGATAAATAAAACAAGAGATAGTCCTTGCGTGGGCCAATGGTGACAACGAGGTGTATGATGCCTCAACCTCTGTACTTGGACACAATGGAGTGAAATTTCAGAACATTAGGATTAAGAAAAATCCTAAAGCTGCAGTAGTGGAAGATGGATGTATCACCAACCAAATAATAGAAAATGCAGATGAACATCAGACTTCTTAACAGCAACACCACATTTGGAGAAGACAATGAAGCAACATATTTAAAAGGCTATGGGAAAATAAGCTGCAACCTACAATTGTACACTGAGCCAAACTATCTTCAAGTCCAAAAGTGAAATAAAATCGGCCAGACGTGGTGGCTCACACCTGTAATCCCAACACTTTGAGAGGCTGAGATGGGTGGATCACTTGAAGTCAGGAGTTCAAGACCAGCCTGGACAACATGCTGAAACCCTATCTCTACTAAAACTACAAAAATTACCCAAGCATGGTGGCTTGCGCCTGTAGTCCCAGCTACTCGGGAGGCTGAGGCAGGAGAATCGCTTGAACTCAGGAGGCAGAGGTTGCAGTGAGCCAAGATCTCACCATTGCACTCCAGCCTGGGTGACAGAACGAGACTCTGTCTCTTAAAAAAAATTAAATAAATAAAATAAACATGCAAGTGGGTTATTTAAAGATTGTAAAGGAGCTAAAAGAGAAACTAAAAATGATAATCAAATTGTGTTGGAAGAGGTAGTAATGTGAATGAGCTAAATTCTCATTTATCATAGCAGGGAGATGATAGGAAATATCTCAAGTTGCTAAATCAAGAAATAGTGATGCGACTGGGCACACTGGCTCACACCTGTAATGCCAGCACTTTGGGAGGTTGAGGTGGGGATCACTTGAGTCAGGAGTTCGAGACCAGCCTGGGCAACATGGGGAGACCCGGTCTCTACAAAAAATAAAAAAATTAGCCAGGCATGGTGGGGTGTGCCTGTGGTCCCTGCTACTCAGAGGCTGAGGCTGCAGGATTACTTGAGCCTGGGAGGTTGAGGCTGCAGTGAGCCATGATCGCTGCCCTGAAGCCTGGGCAACAGAGCAAGATCCTGTCTCAAAAAAAAAAAAAAAAAAAAAAAAAGACCAGCCACAGTGGCTCACGCCTGTAATCTCAGTACTTTGGGAGGCCGAGGTGGGCAGATCACCTAAGGTCAGGAGTTCGAGACCAGCCTGGCCAACATAGAAAACCCCATCTCTACTAAAAATATAATAATTAGCTGGACATGGTGGCGTGCGTCTGTAGTCCCAGCTACTCCGGAGGCTGAGGCACAAGAATCACCTGAACCAGGAATGTGAAGGTTGCGGTGAGCCAAAATTGTGCCACTGCACTCCAGCCTGGGCAACAGAACAAGACTCTGTCTCAAAAAATAATAATAAATAAATAAATAAATAAACAGTGGTGCATCAGTTAGGGACTTTGGAGGCACATAGGAGAAAACTCAACTAACTAACTGTAGGTTAAACAAGACAGAGTTTTCTTTTCCTCTCACTGAACAACCAGTCCAGAGGTAGTCAGGTCATGGGCAGTGACTGGGAAGCAAGAGGAAGTGAATGGGCAATAAGAGCCAGCACAGTGGGGTAGGGAGGTTCCCGGAAGCCCCACCCACACCTCTGCCTGCATCTCATTACCCAGTCCAGCTAACGTGGCCTCCGGACGTGCTGGGAAATGTAGGTTTTTTAAGTTGGGCACACAGTTGACCCCACTGAAATTTCTGTTGTTTATAAGAAATAAAGGGGAAATGTATACTCGGTAGGCAAATTGCTATCTCTGCCTTGGGTGGTATAAGCACTATTTGGAGATACGGAAATAATTTCAGGGAGAAATGAACTCGTACACTTGCCTCTAGGGAATGAGACTTGGGTGGGGCAAAAGGTTGTTGTGTAGTTAGCCCCATTCTAGTTTTTATTTTTTTAAAACCTTGTTGGGATGGGTGGAAAGGTTTCATCTCACACTCACCTTGGAGGTTTAATTCTAGGCTGTTGTCTCTACCCTTCCCCGCCAAGTAGGAAGACCGGAAAGCACTGTGTTTTGGAGACCAGAAATTTAACCTCCACGAGGTGGGAAAGGAATTTGAACCCAAAGCCGCTCACCCGGTTCCTGGCTCCCTGGACATATGTCTGATAACAGAGGTGCCTTTGGAGGAAATGATCCAGCACCTCAAGGTGAGTGGGACTTCTCTTCTTTTTGCAAAGGCTGCTGCAAACACAGTGAAAACAGAAGCATGACCCAGAGAGGTAACGAGTTTTACCACAACCAGATAATGTCTGCACACAGTTATGTACTCACTATTTTGACTGACATAATTTTTTCATGTAAATAAATGTATTTAAAAAGGAAACTAAGCATCCCCATTGTAAAACAAACCAACAAGAAACAAAAAAACCTACATTTATACACTTAAATACTTTTTTTTTTTTAGATAGTCTTGCTCTGTCGCCCAGGCTGGAGTGCAGTGGCGTGATCTCAGGGTCACTGCAACCTGCACCTCCCAGGTTCAAGCGATTCTCCTGTCTTAGCCTCCCAAGTTGCTGGTACTACAGGCGCGTGCCACCACACCTGGCTAATTTTTGTAGTTTTAGTAGAGATGGGGTTTCACCATGTTGGCCAGGATGGTCTCAAACTCCTGACCTCAAGTGCTCCACCCACCTTGGCCTCCCAAAGTGCTAGCATTACAGGCATCAGCCACGTGCCCAGCCCTAAATACATTTATATAAAAAGAAAATGTTCATCTAAGTACATGAAAAACCCATTATGTCTTGGCATAAAGGAAAAGTAACTGTAAAAACCAACAGCTATAAAAGCATAACAATGTCATTAGATTCTAGCCACTTCCATTCCCTGTACTCCCTGGCCCTGACATTACAAAGGGAGATATAGCAGGTGGTTAAAGAGATACTAAGAACTTGTTAGCATCCACCTTCTTTGTATAACAAGAAGGACTGAAAGACGATTGAAGAGGGAATAATTTCTGATTTGCTGTTATTTAATCCAGTGTCTCTGTAATACTTAAAATGATGTCATCTAGAAGAGGCATTGGCTGGGCATGGTCACTCACGCCTGTAATCCCAGCACTTTGGGAGGCTGAGGTGGGAGGATCATTTGGGCCAGGAGTTCCAGACCAACCTGGGCAACATAGTGAGATCCCATTTCCACAAAAAATAAAAAAATTAGCCAGGTGTGGTAATGCATGCCCGTAATCCTAGCTACTTAAGAGGGTGAAGTGGGAGGGTCACTTGAGCCCAGGAAGTTGAGGCTGCAGTGAGCTATGATCACGCCACTGCACTCCAGCCTGGGTGATACAGCAAGACCCTGTCTCTAAAAAATTAAAATAAGGCCAGGAGCACAGTGGCTCGTGCCTGTAATCCCAGTGCTTTAGGAGGCCAAGGAGGGAGGATCACTTGAACCCAGGAATTTGAGACCAGCCTGGGTAACATGGTGAGACCCTGTGTCTACATAAAATACAAAAAAAATTAGCCGGACGTGGCAGTGTGTGCCTATAGTCTCAGCTACTTGGGTGGCTAAAAGGTAGGAGGATTGTTTGAGCCTGGGGGGAGGCTGTAGTGAGCTGTGATCGCACCACTGCATACTAGTCAGGGTGACAGAGCAAGGCCCCGCCTCTACAATAAATAAAGGGATATTAGTTTCCCTTTTGCAGAACACGGATTGAGGTCTTATATATATTCTGTGCAAATAACCTACACGCCTTCTTTGGGAAGTGTCAGTGAAAAAGACTGGTTTGGAAGGAAAATGGGTGAAGCATAGGGGTTCAGAGTATGGTCGTTGACCCAGACTGCCTGGGTTCGAATTCTGGTTCTGCCACTTACTAGATAATACTAGGCACTATTATCCTTCCCATTTTACAGATGAGGAGACCAAGGTACAGGGTAGTTAGGTACCGTGCCCAAGGCCATCTAGCTGATAAGTGGCTGGAACAGAGTGATGGGGGGAGGATGATAGGAGATGAGGTCAGAAAGATACAGTGGTGTTCTAAGGTCTTCTGGGCCACTATAAGGAATTAAATTTTACAGACCGGGTGCAATGGCTCATGCCTGTAATTCCAGCACTTTAGGTGGGCAGATCACTTGAGGTCAGGAGTTCGCGATCAGCCTGGGCAGCATAGCAAGACCTCATCTCTATGAAAAATAGCTGGGCATGGAGGCATGCGCCTGTAATCGCAGCTACTCAGGAGGCTGAGGTGGGAGAATTGCTTAAGCCCGGGAGGCAGCAGAGGTTGCAGTGAGCTGAGATCTCACCACTGCACTCCAGCCTGGGCAACAGAGTGAGACTCTGTCTCAAAAAAAAAAAAAAAAAAAAAAAGAATTAAATTTTGGTCTCACACACTTTGATGAATGACTTTTGTCTTTTCTTCCCACCTCAGGCTTGTGATGTCCCTATTGAGGAGGGGCCAGTCCCCAGAACAGGGGCAAAAGGGCCTATTATGTCCATCTACTTCCGAGACCCCGACAGAAATCTGATTGAGGTGTCAAACTACATCTCCTCGTGATGGAGGCACATTCTGTCCTCCTCCTCCATTCTGTCCCCCTCGATGTCGCCCTCTCCTTTCCTTCCTGCAAACCCCCACCCAGGCCCAGAGACCTCTGAGGACTGAGGACTTAGGCACTTCACACATCCTGCTCAGGGGGGACCCAAGACAGGTTTGGGACCAAACCTACATGTCTGTATGTCATCTAAGCTGGCCTAATAAATGCATAACCTCTCTAAGAATACGGGATCTTCGTTATTGTATTGGAGCCATGCATGGGTGTTTATGTAAGGTGTGAGATCTCTGAGCTATTCGGTCGGAGGCCTATGACCAGGGTATGACACCTCTGAGCACGGAATCTAGGATCATCCCCTTGGAATTCAAGGCTCCTGACAGATTTCTCCTTGTCAGTGACGCCATCATCTTCATCCTTTCCTAACTCGCCTCACTCCTCCAGTTGCTGCCTGCTGTTTCCTCCATTCCTGGGCCTCGCAGAATCCCAGGATCTCTCATTCCCATCAGACCTTCCAGGACCAGCATCAGGCGATACTACCTCTTCCCGGAGAGCCTTCTCTAGTCTCACTCTCAGGGTATTTAGCACTTTCTACCTTTGGATCTAGTAGATCGAAGAGTTCAAGACCAGCCTGGGCAACATAGTGAAACCCTCCCCTCCACAAAATAAATAAATAAATAAATAAATAAACCAAATCATCTCAATTGAAGCATAGCTCATGGCAGGGTAGGCGGGACAAGGTCAAATTTCCTCTGTTTCTGTGCCCCTCCATCATTCAGTCAACTAAAAATGTATGTTAAGCACCTACTGTGTGCCAGGCACTGTTCCAGGCACTGGAGAGACAGCATTGAGCAAAAGAGATAAGCATACCTCTGTTTGTGGAATTGCCATTCTAGTGAGAGAGATAGAAAATAAATAAAACTAAGTAGGTAAAATATTAAGTATGTTACAGGTTGATAAATGGTTTGGAGAAAAAGAAAACACGGAAAAGAGGGAATGCAGATAAAAACTGTTGGGGCAGGTTGGACACAGTGGCTCATCCCTGTAATCCCAGCACTTCGGGGGGCCAAGGCAGGCGGACCACTGAGGTCAGGCGTTCGAGACCAGCCTGACCAACATGGCAAAACCCCGTGTCTACTAAAAATACAAAAATTAGCCAGGCGTGGTGGCCTATGTCTGTAGTCCCAGCTACTCGGGAGGCTGAGGCACCAGAATTGCTTAAACCCAAAGGCAGAGGTTGCATGAGCCGAGATCGCGCCACTGCACTCCTTCCTGGGTGACAGAGCGAGACTCTGACTTGAAAAAAAAGAAATTGCTGGGGCAGCTTCTGATGTCTAATGAGGTGGTCCCGGAAAGTTTGACTGAGAAGGGTCTTGAGCACAGATCTGAAGAGATGAGTAAGCCACACAGCTAGCCAGTGGAGGAAGGGCACACCAGGCAGAGGCATCGGCCAGTGCAAAGGCCCTAATGCATGAATGTGCCTGGTGTGTGTGAGGAACAGCAAGGAAGTCAGTGGGGGAAGCAAGCGGTATAGATGGGTGGGGTCTGGCAGGCCAGGGCAAGGGCTTTGTCTTTTACTCTGAGTGACAGGCAGCTGAAGGAATGTTGTGGACAGAGGAGGGATGTGATCTGATTTAGGATTTAACAGGCTCCCTCTGGCCACTGCATGGAAAATATACTGTCAGAGCGAGGGTGGAAACAGGCGATCAGTGAAGGGGAGGCCACTGCAGTGGTCCACGCAAGTGTGATGGTGGGACACGGGAAGTGATTTTTATTTGTTTGGGGTTTTTTTTTTTTTTTTTTTTTTGGTAGAGTCAGGGTCTCACTATGTTGCTCAGGCTGGTGTCGAACTCCTGGCCTCAAGAGATCCTCCTGCCTTGGCCTCCCAAAGTGCTGGGATTATAGGCTTGAGCCACTGCGCCCGGCTTGTATTTTTTTTTTTTTTTTTGGTAGAGTCAGGGTCTCACTATGTTGCTCAGGCTGGTGTCGAACTCCTGGCCTCAAGAGATCCTCCTGCCAGGCGCGGTAGCTCACATCTATAATCCCAGCACTTTGGGAGGCTAAGGCGGGCAGATTACGAGGTCAGGAGATCAAGACTATTTTGGCTAACAGCCTGGGTGACAGAGCCAGACCTGTCAAAAAAAAACAAACAAAAAAAAACCCAGAAAACCTGCTACAGTTTTTGTTTCTTCTTCCTCTCTTTCCTTCCTTCCTTCCTTCCTTCTTTCCCTCCCCATCCCTCCCTTTCTTTCCTTCCTTTCCTCCTTTCCTTTCCTTCCCTCCCTTCCCCTTCCCTTTCCTTCCTTCCCTTCCCTTTCCTTTCCTTTCATTTCCTTCTTTTTTCCACTGCCGGAAAATGCTACAGGTTTTAGGAAAACCTTTTACATACTAAAATTCATATCCTTATACTCCCTCTCTTCGCAGCACTTTTGGGGCTCCTTGGCGGTTCATTCACAGGGTCTGGCTGAACTACCCTCTGAAGACTATTTAGCGACCAGAGTCCAGAAGACCAGGGGCTCCTTTACTTCAAGAGACTCTCACACATGCTCCTTTATCCATCACTCCTTCACTCAGGAATCCGCACACTTTCCTTCCCACTTGCCTGACTCATCTGCCTGTCCCTTCTCTTGTTTTAGAATCCGAAATGTCCTCAGGCCTCTTCTCTAGCTGACATCCTCTTTTTCGGGAACTCATCCAGTCCCTATCTTCAAAATATCTCCAGAATCTAGCCATTTAAAAAAATCATCTCCTGGCTGATCTGGCCACTGCACTCCAGCCTGGGCAACAGAGCGAGACTCCGTCTCAAAAAAAAAAAAAAAAAAAAAAAAATCATCTCCTGGCTGGGTGCAGTGGCTCACGCCTGTAGTCCCAGCAGTTTGGGAGGTTGAGGTAAGAGGATTTTTTTTTTTTTTTTTTTTTTTTTTGAGATGGTGTCTCTCTCTGTCACCTAGGCTGGAGTGCAGTGGAACAATCTCGGCTCACTGCAATTTTCCTGCCTCAGCCTCCCGAGTAGGTGGAACTACAGGCGCGTGCCACCACACCTGGCTAATTTTTTGTATTTTCAGTAGAGACGGGGTTTCACCATGTTAGCCAGGATGGTCTTGATCTCCTGAGCTTGTGATCTGCCTACCTCGGCCTCCCAAAGTGCTGGGATTACAGGCATGAGCCACTGTGCCCGGCCCCGGCAAATTTTTAAATTTTTTGTAGAAACAGGGTCTCGCTATGTTGCCCGGGCTGGCTTCAAACTCCTGGGGTCAAGGGATCCTCCCACCTCAGCCTCCCAAAGTGCTGGGATTACAGGCATGAGCCACCAAGCCCAGCCAGGTTTTCTGCCTCATTCTAAAAGACAATTTGCCATGGACCCAGACATTATATGCCCGAAGATGGATGATTTATGGATGAAAGGAAAGAGAAAATGAAGGAATAAAGGAAGGAAGGAAGGAACAGACGGGTGGATGGGTGAGTGGGTAGGTAGATGAATAAACGGGTAGATGCTCTGATATTTCCTTCCTCCTCCCCTGAGAAACTCCTTCACAGTTGTGCAGAGAGAGAGGAATATGAGTTTATAAATTGCAGATTTGTTATAATAGGGAAAGAAACTAGAAACAATGCAAATGTTCATCAACAGATGAATGGTTAAACAAAATGTGGTATATCCGTTCCATGGAATATTACTTTCAATAAAAGGGAACGAACTTATGAGGCCAGCATTACTCTGATGAGAAAACTAGACAAAGACATCACAAGAAAACTACAGACCAATATCTCTTATAAGTATAGATGCAAAAATCCTCAATAAAATACAAGTAAGTAGAATCCAGCAACATATAAAAGGATTATACACCACGGCCAAGTGGGATTTATCCTAAGAATGCAAAGTTTGGTCAACTAATGGAAGTCAATCAATATAATGCATTATATAAATATAATAAAGAACAAACACCACATGATCTTTTCAGGAGATGCAGAAAAAACGTTTGACAAAATTCAACACTCCTTCATGATAAAAACACTCAACAAACTAGGAATAGAAGAGAACTTCCTCAACCTGATAAAGGACACCCACAAAAAACCCACAGCTAACATCATACTTAATGCTGAAAGTTGGAAAGGAACAACACAAGGATTCCCCTTCTCACCACATCTTTTCAACATTGTACTGGATGCTCTAGCTGGGGCAATTAGGCAATAAAAAGAAATAAAAGGTATCCATATTGGAAAGGAAGAAGTAAAACTATCCCTCTATGCAGATGACATGATTTTATACATAGAAAATATTAAAGAATCCACAACAAAACCATTAGAGCACCATTAGTGCATAACCATTAGAGCAAGGTTGCAGGATATGAGATTTTGTATGATTCAAGATCATACAAAACTTAACCATATATGCTAGCAATTAACAATCCAAAAGTGAAATTAAGAAACTATTCCATTTACAATAGCTTCAAAATGAATAAAATACTTAGTAATAAAATGAATGAAAGAAGGGCAAGATTTACACACTGAAAACTATAAAATATTATTGAAAGAACTTAAAGAAGACCTAAATAAATGGAAAGACATCACATGTTCGTGGACTGGAAGACTTTATAGTGTTAAGATGGCAATACTCCCCCAATTGATCTATAGGCTTGATGCAATCCCTATCAGAATCCCAGCTTGCTTCTTTGCAGAACTGACAAGCTGATTCACATGGGAGTGCTAGGGGCCCAAAATACAACAATCTTGAAAAAGAAAAACAAAGTTGGAGGACTTGCACCTCCCAGTTTAAAAACTTACTATATAGCTACAGTAATCAAGACCATGTGCTACTGGCATTAAAACATACATATAAATTAACGAAATAGAATTGAAAGTCCAGAAATAAATTCATACATTATAGGCAACTGATTTTTTTGAGACAGGGACTTGCTCTGTTGCCCAGTCACAAACACAGCTCACTGCAGCCTCAAACTCCTGGGCTAAGTGATCCTCCCACCTCAGCCTCCCAAGTAGCTGGGACTACAAGCATGCACCATCATGCTCAGCTAATTTTTTAAAAACTTTTTGTAGAGACAGGGTCTCACTGTGTTGGACAGACTGAACTCCTGGGTTCAAGTGATCCTCCCACCTTAGCCTCCCAAAATGCTGGGATTACAGGTGTTAGCCACTGTGTCCAGCCAGCAATTGATTTTTGACAAGTGTACCAAGACCATTCAATGGGGAAAGAATGCTCCTTTC